TTGAAGCACTGTCCAAGTTAGCTGTTAGTATATTTGAATGAAACTTTTTGCCTCCATGCTGGCATCAGTCTTGGATCATGGGATGGAAGGAATTGGGCCTGGGGATTGGCATTGGTTTTGTTCTTTATTGAAAACAAAGCATCTTGGTACTCATCATATTTTTATTTAAAATATGTTTTTATGTTATTCATGACATAATCAATATATTAAAAACAATATCTTTCTGTATTCTGTTTCAGTACAGTTCTGTATTGGCTGTATCCTTTTGTATTTCTGAGTCCAGTGGTGACCATTTCCTCAGGTGCAAATTCTGCTTCTGCTCATACTTTGATGTCACCGCTACAATCCCCGTGCTTAGCCTTTGTCTGTGGCCCATTTGTGTCACTGTCTTTGCTGTTTTGTTACTGAAATCAGCTTTCAGTCCAGTTTGGGGCTACTCTCTACGAGCCGGTGGGTAGTAACTAGCTGACCCATAGAAGTAGGATTGGAATAAGAATTGTCTCTCTTCTCTCATAATATCTCTTCTCCAAATAGCCATCAACTTTTTTCCCACTTATGTCACCCTCCTGGAGGCATTTTCATCCCTGAACTAAATGCCTCATTGTAATCAGACAAAGCTTTAATAAGGTGTCTGTTTTTCCCTGTACTTGCTGCAGCTAAGGTCTCACAATGTGGCTGGTATCACCTTCAGCAGCCTTTTGCAAGCTATTGCATTTGTATATGGAGTGCACGAGGGGTGAAGCAGGTTACTGGGGATGCAGGGTAAAATGGCAACAAGTTGTGTGTAAATCATCCAGTAATTTTCTCTCTGGTGAGAGAAAATTACCAGACCCTGGGAATGTCATGGAGCTGGGTCAGGGGAGGGTTAGTTTGGGCATTAGGAAAAGATTCTTTGCTAGGGAGTGGTGGATGTGGAACTGGCTGCCCAGGGCAGTGGTTGTGGCACTGATCTGCTGGAGTTCAAAAAGCATTTGGGCAGTGCTCTGAGAAATGTGGTTTGAATTTTGGGTGGTGCTGTGTGGAGCCAGGAGTTGGACTCCATGATTCTTGTGGGTACCTTCCAACTTAGGATAGTCTATGATTCTGTCACATCCATGAGGAGATAAGGAAAGGCCAGATCTGTGGCAATACATGAGATTACCAGAACTAGAGTTTTGCAACTTGTATTTAGGGGCTACAGAGTGAGTGGATGTGGAATCTAAAAGATGTCAGAAAGGAAAGTCCATGCTTCTATACACACCAAAGCAAATAAGCCTAGGGTCTTGTACCTGTGGATGATCTCTAATATATCAAGCTGCCTAGGCTAATGCCCACTAAGAATTTGGCTGAAGCGTACAGGCATATGCAGGTGTGTATATGATGAGAGTACTGTGGAGGCCCCTTGCTCCTGAGGCTGGGGAGCACTGTGCCCTGAACTGCTCAAGTGAGGCAGTGTGCTGCCCTTACACAGGACAGGGTGTTAGCTGTTTTTCCTTTGACCCCAAGTGGTTTCTAGCTCTCACTACTAATGCTGGTAGAAGATGTCAGTTTGGCCAAATTATAAAAAAGATTTCATGTACTTAAGTTTTGTGTTTATTGTTCCTTCTTCAGGATTACTTAAATGCTTTTTTTGCCAATAATCTTGTTTGTAAGAAGCCAGTTCTTGCTGTTTTTCAGATTTACATAGCTGGATTGATTTATGTTCCTTATTAGGAAAATAATCTATCTTTTATGGGGTTAGGTCAATTCGTGAAATAATAAATCAGAGAGAGAAAAGGTCTCAGCTGTTTCCCATAATAAGCATTTATCCATGTTTGGAAGCTCTTGTTTACTTCTGTACAGAGTCACTGTTTGGTAAGGAAAAAGCAGTGTGGAAGGGTAATACTCTTCATGTTAATAAATTCTTTTATTTTTTTCTTACACAAAGCAGTATGGAGCCATGATGTTCCATGTCTGCAGAGTTCTTCATGTACACACCTTTGTATTTGCATGCACGTCTGTCAACCCTGCTGAATACGATAGTAAAGGCACTGTGATTTTTAAAATTGATTATTTAATAAAACAAGCGTTTTTGTGGGAGCTTGTCTTATAAGACCTGTTTATGTGCTTATAACCTTTTGACACCACAGTGAGATTTCAAATGAAGACATATTAATGTGCATTACAAGCGTATGATTGCTTTTATCATTATGAAAGAGATGAAAAATTAGTTCACTGCAGTAGTTTTTATCTTAACCGATCAAAACATCTTCCAGTGATGTTTATAACAATATGTGATTGGAATAACAACTTCACATGTTGTAGAGTTCCATGCTGCAGCCGAGAGGCATGTAAATACAAGCTGCTTATTTGCAAGAAGTTTCCAGATTTGCAATATGATTGCTATGGAAACCGCACAATGAAAACCTTATAACCATCTGTGTGGTTTGGAAGATACTGCTGCATAGCTGAGCTGTTTTTGTTTACTGTTATTAAAGTGTTGAATAGGATATATTAACCCACAAGCTGGAATGATCCCAGGTATAAACTAATGCTATGCAAAGGGAATGTCTGTCTCAGAGATGAAAAAACAGTAGAATACCATTTAATAATGTTATAAATTAGTGTATGGTATATGAAAATGTTTAAGAGGTATGATGGTAGAGGAAACTGTTAAGTTTATGCATATTTATTATGGGGATACCACATTCCATTGGAGGAATGCATTGCTTGAGCCAAGTTCTAATCCATTTTTTTACTCAAGTAGACTGATTTTTTTTTGCCCTTTAAGAAAAAGAAATTGGAAGAAAAATCAATGGCTTAATGTCAAAAACTCAGCTAGTGCAGTATTCACTATTCTATTTTAAAATTGTGTGAATGATAGAATCATCTATGGTTGGGTATTTATTTTTCTGTTCCTTCTTCAGATTCAAATAGGAAATTATTTTGAGCATCTTTCTGGGACTAACTGGAACTAAATAAATAAATATAGTGAATTCCTCGTTTCACTGTCAGTTCAAAAATTTTGGGGGTTGTTTGCCATTAGGGTCTCTGAGAATGAAATGTAATCTATATCTCAAGGGCCAGATGTTTGTTCTTTGGATCTCCAGCTCTGGAAGTTTTAGTTTGTTTAGTGTTGATTGCTCTCATTTTGACATAGTGAGAAGATAGAGAAGAATACTATCTTACTGTATTGGTGGCAATGGTGTGGAGAAGAAAAATACTGTACCGGTTTATTTTAAAGCTCTTCTTGACTCCTCTTACATTAGGGAGTATCCTACAAAGTGTGACTGGCAATGGGATAATAATTCCTGTGGGTGGTGTAATTGTGGTATGGAAGCCATAGAATGACAGTGCCTCCTAGTGCTTTGGACAGCTTATAGGGATGTATTTGTGTCATTTGTACTCCAATTCTAAGTGCTTAAAACAAACAAATGAGTGTACTTGGAAATGTGCCACAAGTGGTCTGCCAAGTGAGGGAATACATTTAAATGCAGTAAATAGTTTGGAGTGTTTTGTGTTGTACTGCAGCTTTAGATTTTCCCTGTTCTATCGTGTTGGTTTTGTTTTTTCTTCTTGTTTGGCTCAAATAATAGTTTATATTCATTGCAACCAGACTTTTAGCTAGTAAAGAGTCAGACAGCAAAAAACTCTCAGTGGCTTAGCAGGGCAGAAGTTCAAAGCTCTTTGAATCTCATGAAGTAACTGTCATACTTGTAGACCTGCGTATGTAAGTTAGCAAACAATTATGCATACTTATTTCAACAGGTCTACTCTTGTGCTTTAAACATCTGCTTTAATGTTCACACAAACAGTCTTGTGGGTAGATTAAATTTTACAGTGCCAGCAGTGCTTTGAACTGTTGATGTAAAATTCACTCTTTGTCAAAGTGGAAAGTCGGATTACTAAAAGTTTCACAATAAGGAGCATTTCTAAAGTTGAGTGCTGCGTCTGTTATTAATAAACTATCAAAATAATTTGCTGAAACATATACTGGTATTCATGCTTCTTTTTAAGACATAAGATGTGATGAGTTGCTGTATCTAGTAATTCAAACATATTAAAAGTCCAATTCTTGTTTGAGAAGTGGATTTATTGGTATATTATTTCTTCGTTCGTTCAACAACTTTTGGTATATTATAAGGGCCAAGATGAATGTGTTTCTTCTTTCTTATGACCATGAAGAAATAATACAACTTAAAAAGGACTCATGGTTTGTTCCCGGTTCTGCCTCACTGACCAATTGTTGACTGCGAGTTGTGCAGGTCTTACATCCCTGTGACGAATGGAGTGTGAATTTCCTCATGTGAGGGTGTTGGGGTGAAAGAATTCCCCTTCTGTGTAAGATAAGGATGGAGTACATTAAGAAATTGCCTATGGGAATTTCATAGAGTGTTCCAATCTTGCTAGCCAGGAAACACGCTTTAGTATAGGTCACTGCCAGGGTTCTTCTTTTCTTGTCTCTTAAATTTGAAATAAGTTACTTGAAGTCTGGTTTGCTTAAAACCATGGTTAGTTGCAGTAGGCAGAGCACTGAATGCATGGCATCTTGTGGTGCCTGCATTCCCATCACGAGGGTGCCTAGCTTGTGTGTGTGTGTCTGTCTGATGGTGCTGAAGATGTCCTCTTCCTTGTCTGCATACTTCTGCATTGAACTGACTACTTTATATGGGCTGGGATACTTTTTCACTCCTCAGTTTCCTTCTCTTCATCCTGACAAGACATGTATATAACAGGATAGGACTCTCATTCTAATTTTCTTGGATGACATAAAAACAGCAGAACTGGATTACTGTATTCAGAGCGGATTGAGAAGGAGAGCGTGTTCACAATTGAGATTTTGAAAGAAAACTTTTGGAGTATTTGGATGGGTGGGTGGGGGAAACCACGGAAATAACAACGCTCCAACTGCTGTACAAATGCAAAATAATAAACAGGGCTTATGATCTAGAAATGTGGAGTGTGGCTTTCAGACTAATGTGGGCTGTAATTCCTGTCAGCTGAGGTGTCCCTTCAGTTTCATTTGCAATTGTGTTTTGCAGAAGAAAATGCTCCTCCAAAGACTGAAATGCCAAGGAAATGGAGCCAGGAGAAAGTAGACGCTGCATCAGGTAATTAAAATCTTTCTTCTTTATTTTGTGTGTGTACTTTCTTTCTATCTTTATTTTCTTTTCTCTTCCTCTGCTGTTTTAAAATGTTTTTATAGCTCTTCTAAGCTGTTTTTTTCACCTGGGTGTTTGATGGCAGCAAAACTGCTTAGCACCACTTAGGATGCGTGAAAACCACTTGAGAAGGATTTATAAAGTAAGCCAATTTATACAAGGTATTCCTTCCTGAATTACTTTGTAATGACTCAATTAGCTTTCATTTCTGCACAAAGGAGATTTAGTTGCATAAATTAGCTTATCATCATTGAGGAAGTGTCACAGCTAAAGGACAGTTTATAGATACAACATGCAGTTGCTGTCAAACCTATAAGAATGTAATATAGACATCTGTGTATACTTTGTGCTTGAGCAGAACAGACTTCTGCCATTCAGAGACTAACAGGGGACAACAAGTTGCCCAAGGGACTGGCAATGTAGACATCTCTGAAAAGGTCAACTTGACACAGGCTCTGACAATCGACCCAAAGCTCTGTCTTCTTTGATAAAAATCAGATAAACTTAAGACCACTAATTGATCTGCAGCCTGTTTAAATGTTGGCCATGCATATCTTCATTGCATATGATTACCACAGAAAGCAAATGAATTGGGTAAGAAATGCCAGAGTCCAGTGACAGCAGCATAAAAATTGGAAAAGGACACCAATGCCTAGGAAGGCTGTGAAGGATATTCTCTCAGCTTTAGCTTGGCAAACTGCCCTTGTGCTAATTATCTCTGGGACTGGAAAAATAACTGCATACACCATGTAAAGTCTCATGGCCAGACAACTTTTCTTGACAGAAATGTATTTCCAGTTATGCTTAAAAACAAGATATATATGTGCTTCAAGGGCACAGACCTTTAGATAAACTATTGGTGATTTGACACAGCAAATAGAGAAGACTTGCTTCTTATCAGACCTTGCACCTTTTTGAGATCTGCTGCATTGTAACTGTGACCTGCATTGACATGCAATCTAGTTCACCTTCCCCCATCGTTCAAAATGCACATCATTCTTTCAGGGCTGTCAAGGAAAGGGTGGACAAAAAGAGTTCCTTTAGGAAGTAGGTCTGCAGTGCTCTTCCTGTTTCAGCGTGTGGAAAGGAAACAGAGGCCTGATTTCCTGACCCATACAGGAAAGCAGGAACAGGTTGCTGTGAAGAGTTTGGGGTTGCTTTTCTTGGAAAGGAAGCAAAGGCCAAGTCATCAGATGCTGTTAACATTGTGTTCTGCTAAAAACACATGTACGACAACACGACTCATTACAGCTTTAGCATTTAATACTCATTTAAACGTTACTGTAATTATAAAAGTGCGTTGTCATAGTAGAGCATGGGGTCAATCCAATTACAAACTTGACAGCAGCATTTTTTCACTAATAGATCATCATGAAGTTTTAAGTGATGATACTTTTAAGAAATAAAAATCTTAGCACATTAATTTCTTACAAGTTTCAATGAGCCTTGTCTGTCTTGTTAGTGTTTGCACAATGTCCTGCAGAATATTTGAACAGATTTTCCCAGATGTCAAATTAATTTTCTGGTCTTACTTAGTTCAAACTAGTAGCACTGGAAATCAGTTGGACTTTTAGGGTGGAGTTGACATAAGTAAGATTGGCATTACTGAAATATCTAACTATATTCAAGAGTATTTTATATTTTTGCATACTGACAACACATACATTCTTACACTTTATTTATTGCCTATCTTTATTAAACCTGAATATCACAGAAAATCTTCTGCAAATGTCTGTGAGCTCAGCCAGGTGAGCGAAAAAGGTTTTTGTAATTTCTAGTCTGTGTTGTCTCAAGGTAGGTACCTTGATTTCAAAGTAGCTAAGGGACAGAATAAGGGAATAAAAGGAAAATGAAGAAGGAAAATGAGGAAGGTTATGCTGAACAGTTTGGTCTACATAGGTGGTAGAGTGAAATCAAAGCAAACCTATGTGTTCCTTCATTCACAAGCAAGGTGAAAGTAGGTGATGTGGACCGAGTAACTCAAGGTTACTATTTTAGTATAGATTATTAATTTGGACACCATCACTGGTAAAAGGGAAGTGAAAGTCGGGCACATCTGTTTTTAGTCTAACGTTTTCAGTAGTGCATTTCCATGCTTAGGCTGTAATTCCAGATTTTGTTTTGGTCAGTGTAGTTTTTTTTGCTAACTCTGTGCTCAGAAATGGCAAGTGCCAAAATTGGCATGAGAGAGGGCATCGGGAAAGGTCAGCTGCAGTTGAACTGGCTAAGGCTGCAGTGGGTCAGCACACTTAAAACTTGAAATATGTACCAGGTTTTGTTCTTTTTATGTCTATTGAGGCTGTTAGTATATTCATACAGTTTTGTTCTCCCTTGAGCAATCTGTTGGCATTTTGAAACAGCTTGCAACATCCAAAGTCCATGTTTGAGAGAGATAATTTTCAGACTTGTACTGTAACTCCTCACCTTTCTCTCTTCGAGCATGCAATGTTAGATGCCAGTATTTTTCAGTCAAATAAGGAGTCTGAGCCTACCATTAGGAAGGCCAGCAGTGGTTGCCTCTTAATCTGTCAAATAAACTCTTTGTTTTCATCACTACACTGGCAAAAAATATCTGTTGTTCTTTTTGCTGTTACTGGCAGAAAACAGAGATGGCAAAAGAAAACTCTGAGGAATTCTTTGTAGAAGAGTTTTGGAAACTGTTGGATAGTTGTTTGTTCAGATAACTGTCCTGGAATGAAAGAACTATTTCCTTGAGAAACAACTTATCCAAAATCCTTCTCAAACATTTCTTGTAATTGCTAATATGAAAAGCCATGAGTGGGTAAAACAAACTGCCTCATTTGCTCTACTCTGCATTTAAAAAAAAATAATTCTTTTTTTCATATATTTTTCACATTTATAGCCTATGTGACCATGCCTTCCAATGTTACAGACTTTTGTTTAGCAGTTAGCACAAGCCATTTTACAGTGCAAAAGAATAGGATGTAATTATGACAGAGTAATTCCAGCAAGTCAAGACTTTTTGAATTTGAACTATAATTGGCGCTTATGTTCTTGATGCTAAATTTACCAGCTGCTTTCATGCACTCCTGTGTTTATGAAGGTCTACATGATTTCATCTCCATATAAAAAACAAATTTTTTCACTGAAGTCCTGTGGTTTTATTTCATGCAGTTCTTCAGATGCGTTCAAACAAAATGTGGTACGATCTTCTCTAATCAAGAGAGGGATGAAACAAGAAAGAATGGACTTGTGTTTTTAGTGAAGTTTTTGCAGCTTTTTATTATTGTTGTGTCTCTGAGTTTGTGAAGCACTGCGAATCATTTTATGAAGTGTTACGTCCTTTAGACGTATGGACTCTGAAGTTATGTTTACGTTTCATGTTTATGCCTGTGTAACTTGTTCTGGTGGATGTTAGAAGCTAATTCACAACTGGGAACGCCACTTGTTTGAAGATTGGTGTAGTTTTTCACAAACTCACAGTGGCACTCCCTCTCCTTGGTTTCCTTTCTGTGCTCCTGGTGGATACCAATTGCTCCATGACAGATGTGTATTTCTGATATTAGGAAATCTGTCAGAATTTGATTTTGCATTGAAGTGACAGAGCTATGGTTTGTCTTTGGGCAGCATCTTCAGAGTAGCAATAAGCTTGTTTCAAAACACATCTTCTCCAGTATTGCCATCTTATTAGTTGAGTTCCTTTCTTGCTTTAAGGCTTCATGAAATGCTCGTGGTAAATATGTAGGGAGAGATGTACCTTGCTAACTGTGACAGCTATTGTGTTGCTGGTATTCTCCTTGTGATTCCCATTAGTGCGATACCTGCAGTTACTTCAAGCACTTAAAAGGTGATAAAAAGATCAGTGTGAAAAATCACGATTCATTTTAGTGCAACTCTGATTAAATACAAGTACTGATTAATGTATTTTAAACTCAGATCAGTAAGACAACTGTTGAAAGATTTGTAAGGATGGAATACACCAAAGCAGCTCTTTAGTTTTTTGGGTTTTTTTTCCTTGCTTGGGTTTACATTATCTTTTCTGAGATAGCGCTAGGAACTGTGGTCAGTGCTGAATCAAAGATCTGGGGAGATAATCACATTCAGAATTTATTCAAAATTGATTTGGTGCTGATCATTGTTACTGTTTTTAATTGTCTGATTCTAAATTGGTGAATAATAAACCGATGAATAGGAAGGGCCAAAATTTGGAGGTGCAACATTTCATAGTGATTCTGTCTGAATATTATTCTCTCTATGCATTTTACAGTAATGGAATTTCTTGTTTCTGAATAGCTGGTAGCCTTTATGACATGTATATATTGGTGCCTTTGATGTGATGGCAGAAGTTGTGGGTTGATAGTCAGAACGCCCTCTAGTGCTATCTGGGGAATGGTAGCTACTAATCATCAGCTTGTGGAAAATTAAATGGTGGCTACCTTGCATAGCAGCTTTAAAATCAAAGTTGTGAACGTTTAGCCGTATGACAGAATTGTCATTAAAACAAGATATGACAGAAGACATACTGAAATGGATAAATAGAAAACAAGCTCTTCTGGCTCATACAGAGAGCGTTACAGTTAAAATCAAAGTATATGTCAAAATAGGGAAAAACACAAATTGTATGCTACTGTATTTTACTTAATGTGACACTTCATCTCACTTGTTATTTGATATTTTAGTGGGGTTTTATTCAGTAATAAAGTGAACCAATCATGATTAAATTGTAAACTATAAATAATGGTGTAGAGTGCTAACGACATGCAAATGTAACGGGTATATGTTGAAATAACCAGCAAGCCTGCTGTTCCAGGATCATATAACAAAACTAAGATGACAGCTTTGATCCAGCCAGTTCAGTGATATTTATGTTATCAGAATTAGAAGATAGCTTTCCAGTGATGTAAATTATTAGTACATATACATTCTGTCTGGTTAGTGTATACATAATGTAACTGGTCATCTTAGTGGTATTGCTTACATTCTTTTTGCATTGACTCATCGCACTTGATCCTCATGGAATTAAAAACAGGAAATAGTTTGCAGTGTAACAGAAGCTCCCAGTGTATTTAACCGTGTGTAAGTGCTGTGTTTCAATAGATGTACTCTGTATTGTAAGTATATGACAAAGCATTTATTACTGTGTTATTGCCATATTACAGAGCAAAGAGTGCTAAATAATCAATCAGTTAATGGTCTGTATGGCAGCTTGAACACAGCACATCCATTGTGCTTACACTGTTAGAAGGATGAGTTTATGACTATAGTGTAGTTGCATGTTTAGCCAGAGCCTAATGTCCTAAACCGGAGCTGACACAAATATTTTTAAAATGCATCTTCAGCAACAGTCTTAAAGTTCTCCAATATTTCAGAAAGAACAATCCAAGATTATCTAAAAGGTTCTCGGTGAAGTTATTCAGGTTTGTTGGAACAGAATTGGCAGGGGGAGCATATCACAAAATACTTATTTTGGCTTCCTTTTGCAGATAGTTATTAATTATACCCCAGCATTTTTATCAGTTTCAAGCTGAGATAGAATAATGGCTTGCTGGAAGTGTGTGAGTAGAGGAAAACTGGCTGCTTTTGGTGCAGCTGTGAAATGCTTTGAGAACCTGCAGCTACATGTTTCTAAGTCATACAACTGTTGCCAGTGAAGGGCTTGCACATTAAACTTGTTTTCCACTTGCTTTTGTGGTATGAAGGAGCTGTTTCTTCAAAGAGGATTAAGAAATGCGTGCTAATTAATTGCATTGTAGTATCTGAAGATTTAAAGAGCAGCGCTAGCCCCTCAATCTTTATCCGTTGTAATTAGATGTCGTTTTCTTTGCAGATGGCAAAAATACCGATTATGCCAATTTCTATCAGGGTCTGTGGGACTGCACCGGAGATGTACCTGATGAGCTGACATTTAAGCGTGGTGATGTTATCTACATTCTCAGCAAGGTACAGCATGCTACTCAGGCTAAGTGGCTGTAAAAAGAGGGAAGCACAGAAGGGCACATTCCCACAGTTCTATGGGGGGAAATTGGCACTCCCTTTCAGATCCTTTGTTTGCAATCAGATATTCACTGCAATTAATTATTTGTCAAATGAACTATAATCACATTTAAAACATAACCATGTAACAGGAATTAACTTAAAAGCATGTTTATTTACTTGTTAAATCTTGGCTACCGTTTGTTAACTAATTTAACAGGAGACAATGTGCTCTCTGCTTGTAAAAGCTAACCTTGTAGAATTTTAAAATTATCTTGTATGCTATGCTTTTCCTCTCCTGTTTTATATCTGTGAATTTTGGGGCATCTTGCTAGAGTGTTTTTTTTGTTTTGTTTTGTTTTTTTTTAAATGATGTTTTCATCTTTGTATGTATATAGCAATTGTTCAGACAGCTCAGATTGTGAATCTGTTTGCTCTGGCACATTTGGACAATTTTTAATTTACTACCTCCTTAGTTGCAAGGCAAATGATGAATACAATTCTTCTCATCTGAAGCAATGATAAGCAGTATAAGCACAAAATTTTATTTTACATTCCCGTTTCTTAATTTCTTATTTTTTCCCTTAAAAAGAAAATGAAAAAGCTCTCCTAAAGTACATCAAAGTGTACTTCTAAAATTTCATTTAAGGAAATTTCTCTTCCCCACTTGAAAAAAAAAGCTGAAGTTTCCTAGTTTTCATTAAAAACCTGACTTTAAATACATATCTCAGATGTAATTGCCATTCAGTATAATTTATGCCAAAGACATTGTAATAAGCAAGTAGCAGCATGTAAGCTAAAGCCATCTGTTTGTTCTAGTTTCAAACTCTTCAGTTTTGTCACAGTTGCTTTAAATCTTCCACGATACTTTTAACTGCTGTGTTTTAGGGATAACAAATGTACAGCTTCTGTTTAAATAAATTTAAGATTTATAGGCAGATAGTCCTGTATAAAAATATAGAAGATATGTTACTAATGTAATGTGACGATGTATGTCTTTTGAGGTATTTCATTGTCACTTAAACTAATAACTGAATTACATTACTAAAGGCAGGATAATAGTCTTCAATTGGACAGGCTTTCATAGAGTTATACAGCACCAAAGAATGGTACTAATAAACAACAACACCCTGTCTGCTCCTCTCCTCCTTTCTCACCCCTCCCCCCCAAAAAAAAGGAGAAAAAAAAAAAGGAAAAATGTTTTTGCCTTTCGTGAATCGTACTTTCTATGTTACAGGGACTAATAAAATCTTAAACTTCAGCTTGTCGGTGGAAAAACTAATTTGCTGCTTCTTTCTTCCCCCAAAGTGAGGAATTTAATTTAAAAAATGGAACAAAATAGAAAAACAGTGGTTTAAGCTGTCATCTGTATATCAGCTGTCTTGTGGCCATGCCTTGATTAATACGTAATCAGTCCTTGAAACAGGCCTGCTGCTGCTCAGATATATAGAGCCGTTCTGTTTGGGAATGATTTCTGCTCCAAAATAGAACCCAGAAATTTCAGCCGTGTTTCACTTAAAGATTGTTACAGCTTTTTCAGAAAAATGAGTGTTGGCCACTACTGTCAGCTCAGAATTTAGGGGCCTTGGAGGAGAAAGTGCCAGAAAATTATCCATCTTAACCTTCCGTTTGGTTCAGTTTCAAGGACTGATCATTTACAAGCTCTTTGTCTGCTAAGTGAAAATATGACCAAGGAAAAGTGAGCCTAACCATCCTGAAGTGGGTCAGGACTTTTCTTCCAAAAATATTTCTTAATTCCCTGCGTTAACACAGGGTTTTGTGGCGGTCGGCAGGAATCCTTGGCAATTTTTTTATTTTTTCACACCATCTAGTGGTTGAAAATGAGAGATGCAGGTACTGACAGGAGGTGATGTGAATAAATCCAAAATGGTGTCATAAATTCAGCTTCAGCTTGAACCTAGCCATGGCTTTATTGCCTTTCTATCATCTGTCAGCCAGGTAGGAACATTATTCTTGGAGAAATCACATTTTGCTGATAAGGAGTTAAGTATAGTAGTGTTATGGTAGGAAGGGTGAAGCTTTAACAAACTATTGAGCATTTTTGTACAACACATGATATTTCCTTATTTTACAATGAAATATAAGTGGTATATGCTCTAATGATTGTGATAAAAGATACATTTTTTTTTTTCCCAGCACTATTTAGGCCAAAGCAATGTAGTTTTACCTGTTTTTCAAAAACTCAAGAGAAACCAAGGGATAAGTGACTATTGTTTTCCAATAGATGAGTCATTAGTGCAACTGAAATAATTATGAACCGGTTTTGCAAATATGGGCATTGATATCATTTAAATAAAGCTAGATGAACAATTTGTTACATGCAAGTTGTAACTTAGATGAATGCCTTTTAAAAGAAACAGCAAGATTTTGGTTTGGTGGTGTTTAATTACTGAAGTAGCTAAACATTATGCAAATACAAATCCCTCATAATTTACTTTAAATTGAGCATCTAAAGTCAGTGTTAATGTAATGAGCATGATTTGCATGCTTATACGTGTATAATACAAATACCTATGCATTACTAATTTAATTACTTTACAAAAGTAAGTCTTCGTTGTTCAGAAGATGCATTTAGTAACTATTTTAGCTATTATCTAAACATTTGTGGATGTTTAGACTGTGCATGGCAGCGGTTCTATGGACTCTTGCTTACATACATATATTTTGGGTTTTTTGTTGTTTTAACTCTGAGAGTAAAAGTTGAGTCTTTAATTTGAGCAGAATTAGCAGAACTATAGCAACAGTACTTACTAGACTTATTTAGAAAATCAAAACAAAAAGCCCAGCCTTTTCAAATGAATAGATCAGTTTATCTGTACATTCATCACTTTAATTTATTCTTGAATATTCAAGTGACTTTTATAACTTATGCTATGAATCATGTGAGCTTTCAGAAATTTGTATACCCCTCTTTCACCATGCAGTCGAAAACATTTTATGGCTCTGCTGATTGAGGGACTCATTAATAGGATTTCTTAGTTAACATTGACTATTAGAAATGCAATACTTGGGTGGCTTATTTTCTAAGATGATGATTGCTCTTAATTCCTGATCGTTTATGGGCCTCCCTTTGCTTTCAAGCCCACATGATAAATGGGAAAACAAACCATGATGTAACAATTCTTTTTATAAATCTTCCAGAGCTCTTATTCAGGAAATCAATTTCTAGTAACAAAGCCAACTGTGAGTATTGGTAGCTGTATTTTGTTTTAAAGTTCGCTGTGCACGATTCACCGGAGTGCAGCCGTTGCAGTATTTGTTTTATATGCATACTTCACGTTCAGAAACTTGATAGTTTCATCAGCCAGTTGCAAGTACTAATGGAAATTTATTTAGACATTAGCAGGCACTTGCTCTGGCAGAATTACTGGCGTTTCTTAACTTTTAACCTTATTCATTTTCTCCTACATTTATATTTATATTTGCATTAAATTAACAGATAATACTTAAAAATTAGAAATTGTTATCTCTAACCAGAATACTCCTTCCCTCTTATTATTGGAGTATGTGCTAATGTAATGTAATTCTACTCTCTCTGGTGTTCATGATTCATGAACATCTCATTTATGATTTAAACTTTTCCTCTAGAATTTTCCATGAAAGCAGAGCATTAGCTTGGCATCTAGCTAACCCCTAAGTTAGTAACTAAGTTAGTCATTGCATGCTTCCAGTGGGAGATTTTTGTTCTTTCAACACAACAAATGTTTGTTGAAAGACACAAGTCATAAATACAAAACCTATATTTTATGCTAAATGAAAAAAAGAAAGAAATCTCCGTAGGTTAGATTACTGCTAAAGTAAAACGGAACAGTGCAACCACTTAATTATGAGTATGAGCATGTTGTATGTTTTGTGTGCAACTGTCATGAAGTATATTTATTCAGTATATTAAAAAAAAAAAAAGATGTTAAAGGCATGGTAAAATCCAAAGTGTTTTTGTGAGGCCATCATCTGGCTCGCCATACAGAGAGGCATATTTAATGATGACCTTGCTGTTCACGATCGTACTGCCTATGTCTACGTTAGCAAATAAGGTGTGCTATATACATGGCTAAGAGTAGAGTGAGGGCCCTTCAGTGGAAGATTAATTAAGACAGACTAACACAAAGTGACTCGAGTTCTGTTGGTCTGCATACCAATAATAAGCATTTACCTACCTGATCAGAAGAAATGTTGGCATCTTGTCGTGTAATAGAAGATAATGGCCCTTCAACCAGGGCCAGCTTTGGTTCTGAAGTCAGTCTGCTTATTCTGATTGAGCACTTTCCAATGGATGTCTGTTTTGTCTCATGTCATTTCAGGAAATAAAACCTAATAACGCTACCATATAGTAAATCTGAGGCTTGTATTCTTAAAGATGACTATTTTATTGCTGCCTTAAAACAACTCTACTACCTGTGAAGAAGTCTCATTCAGTTATCTAAAACATTTATCATTTTCTGCTTTTTAGAGAAAATGCTGTTCTGTGACAAAAATGCTCCCTAGTTGATAGTGCATCATTCAGCAATTACACCAAAGGAAGTTCTGAAATTTTTTTAGCTGGCTTCAATCTTCTGGATGAATTAGAGGTGTCTTAAAATATTATCTTGCCAAATTGCCCCCTAGGATATTCTTTAGGAAAAAAATAAAATCTCCCTGGTTCCCTCACTTTAGATCGGTAGGAGAGGCTACCTAATTTAACCCCAAACAAGGCTATAAATACATTTTGCTTTTCAGTTTTATGGTTTGCAGATCTTCAGTCTGTAAGTTAATATTACTTATGATGCCTTGGGAGAAGGTGGGAGAAAAATCTTGAATTCACATGCTTCAGCTGTGTGGTTTTTTTTTAATAAATTATAAATCCATCATTTCCTTGAAGGCATTGATGCATAATTATGATTTTTCAGTAACCCTTTAAAAAACAAAAATAGCAAAACAAACAAAAAACCCAACAACATACTATAGGTGTTGAACAATAGGGACTAACTGGGCAAGAATGAGATGTTCTCAACTTTTACTGATGCCAGTAGAAGTGAATATGATGCAAAGCATCTAGAGATCCTTGTTTATTCATAGGATCTGTTTCTGAAGGTGAGGAGACACGTGGAAATCCTCTTGCATATCAAAAATCTCTTTTGCATATCAAAATGTCCTTCTGTGTGGTAAACAAACCTTAGATCTTACCTTAGTATGACCTACAGGTCATACTTGAGAAACAGGTAGTATGTTTCTACTACTGCACTTTCTGCAAATGTAAAAACTTCTAAGGTCAGTATCTCATGGAATCTAGGTGCACACATATCAGTGCAGTGCAATGGGCGGAATGGGGCGAGAAGCGTCTGCTTGCAGTGTGTTCAGTTGGGAGCCCTTTAGGAGGAGCCTGTAAACCCAGATGACATTTTTTTTCCTAACACTGCTGTACAGAGAGTGTTTTGCCAGCAGGTTAAGTCATAACCTGTTCCTTGCTGCCTTGTGAAATTACTCTGGTTAATAAATTTCTGCTGGGAAAAAAAAAAAAAAAAATCCACTCTTTTACCGATGGTGAAAACACAGAAGTGACTTAAAAAGCATTTGGTCATCTGTTTGGGTGGTTGTTCTGCATTTTGTGACATAATATATTCCACTACAGCGGTGTTTGTGTTGCAGCAGTGGTGCTGGTCTCTTCCTCCCCTCCTCTGCCAACCCTGTCTGCTGTGGTAAATGTGCTCCAGTCACATGGCAGATCGTGGCCGCACACTTGTGCATTCTCCTCATTGCAGTGTGGCTGCATTTGGCCCTGCCCCCTTTCCTATCCCTCTGTTTGCCTTGGAGCAATTCATTTTGCAGTTATTGAATTTCTTTGGAGAATTATTTTCATACAGCAAGCATCACAGCACCTCTGGATCTTGATAGCATTTCTACATAAGGAGAAAGAGGCTTTGTGTTAGTAATTACCTAACATTGTCAGGAGCTGACTGCAGGCCTCTTTCTAGTGATAACAGAATAACCACATAATGTAGCTTTATAGCACATGATTAATAGAAAATAATTACACATCCTACAAAGGGATGCAATATTTCTTATAAATTGACTACAATGGTTTCCTGTAGATTAAAGGACTCTTCATTATTTTATCAGTCCTTCTGAAGTACAGTCGCTTGCCTATGTTAGCAGTGATGTTAAGAGCCGAATGCAGTGAGGGATACCAGATGGTAGGTCCAGTGGTACCTGAGATCATAAGCTGATGCTTGCAAAAGGACTGTGCTTCCCAACTCCTCAGAACTAATATAAAACTTGTGACTGTCTTCAGATCTTTCTGCGTTTTGAGCCTATTGGGCTTCAGAATTATATTGTACACATCACCGGCAGCGGTAGTAGACATACAGGCTTCACAACAGCAGTGTGTTATCTAAATTACATCATCTTGAAGGAGTTTATCACTGATGCTATTGATAGAATCAATACAGCAGTTTGGATTTTATATGACACTTCAAGAAAGGAGTGGGGGACTGCCTTTGTGTCTGACCAGCGAGCACTCCTTCATACTTCTGAAGACAGAGAGGAGTGGCTAGGAGTTCAGAGAAAAATGTCTGTACTTTAATCAGTTTAAAAGGGGACTACTGTACTATTGTTCTAAAACCTGAAATTAAAGTTTTATGTTCTTGGTAACCATGTATTTGTATTATCTTTTTGCTCAGACTTCCATGGTCTGCAGATGGTTTAATTGGGATTCATGTTGCTCTTGAGGCCCATGTGAAGAATAGTAATGATGGAGTAAAAGCTTCTGTGTTGGAATATTGTCTGTATAGTATAATGGTTGCAGTGAATCTTTAAATTAGTTTACTAGTCTGTTACATCAACATTCATTTCATCTTCTCACTTAGCTTCATGCCAGCGCAGTAAGTGGTGTATTAGTAAGTAACAAAACCCAGAAAGTTTTCAAAACAGCAACATGCTCTTAATTTTCATTTGAGGTGTCTGAATTGTTTTGTTTTAAAGCAATTATTTCTGAGTTCATGTAGTTGCTAAGTGGAACATTTTCAATGGATAATATAGTCCACAGGCTCTTTGTGTGCCATTTGTCATGCAATTTAATGACCACTTAACTAAGCCACTTCCCTCATTTCATGTATTGTTTGTTTTTTTGGCTGATGTCTAGCAAAACTTGCTTAATCTCTTTTGTCAGGCTCTTCATGACTTCCGTGTAACAGCTTAAAATCTTTTGTTGCTTTTTCTTGGAGAGATTTATTACTGAGATTCCAGCAGTATACGTGAGTACTGCTCCTTTCAGCAGTTTCCCACTGGAGTCTAGAAATACTGTTTGTATATTTAACCAATGTACTGTAAGATAAAATACAAATTTTAAACAGGCTGATCTGGAACATTATAAACTTTGGTGTCAGGGTGCTACCCAGCCTTTTAAAGATTTGGAGTGCAACATGCACCCTATGGGAAAGGTTGTGAGCAGTTCTCAACTTCTGCTCAAAATAGTTTTCTCACTGCCCATCAGGTTCAGGTACCCCTTGACTTTCAGAGCATCCGTACAAGCCCATACTGCAGTGGAAGGTGGAGGTATTTTTGCAGCTAATTTGTGAGTTTACATCGTAAATGAAGGTTTTCCTGCTATTTTTTGCATGGATTTTCTTGAAGCCACACTTAGTGCTGTATTTTATGGGTGGCAGGATAGAACCCTTTAAATCACCAACTCCTGTTTGCACAGTGAAGAAAGAAAATGTTTAAGATTGGTGTTCAGCCTTCCACAGAAAGAAAATAAAGCGTGTGTGTGCCTGCCTGCCTGCCTGCGTGTTTTGGGAGAGGAAAAAAAAGAGCTTGGGCCAACATGAAAGTGAGCCATCAACAGGGCTTCATCGCAGTTACACACAGGGAGAGCTGAGTACATGAAGCACCTCATAGGACCCTAGAGAACTCTCCACCAGGCCAGATATGCCAGCAGCAAATCATTATAGCTCAGGCTCTAATGAAACTCCATTAACCCTTAAGCTCCACTTGACTATTAATAACCAAAAAACTTATCTGCAGTCAAAATAATAGCTTATAGTGTCATCTCAGTAGGTCCATTAATTAAAAAATCCTACAGTCTTCAGCTTTTCTCATCAGAAGAGCAGTATGGCAGGGAGCAGATGTTGCTTATCAGGGATATCTGTGTCTTTCGTATTTTCCGTGTTTGTTCCAAAGTAATTTCTATCTAACTAATCATTCAATTTTTGAATGGGATCTCTGTTTTAATAATGCTTCATTTGTAACTCAATATATGAGAGTATGCAATTTCAGCTGTTACAATTTATTGAACTGCTGTTAGGATTGATCTTAAAATATTTACCTCATAGGAAAAAAATTAAATTTGGATCCCACAATACTCTTACTTGGTATTGCTTTGGAAGATATTATTTCTTTAAACTATTATAATTCATTTTGTTTCATATTTATCTCACTAGGCCTAAACAAATTTCAAACTAAAGTACATTAGTCATCTGTCAGACATATGAGATCTTCTGTAGAATTTTCTACAAGCCTAAAGCAATAGTAGATGTTGTCCATTGAAAGAGATTATATCTTGGACTGATAGTATTCCCTTCGCATTTGAACAAAGTGTTATTTAAAAGAAGTTGATTTTGAGTTTCTTAGACTTTAGCCTTGTGATACTGAAAGAATCCCAGCTGATCCTTTATGTCAATGTTGTGCTGTGAGTTATTGTTACAAAAGCAAGGTTTTTATGTTTGTGGCGAATACGAGACGGAGAGAACAGCTGCTTTTGGTTGTAGGGAAGTGTGGCCATAATTAAGAAATTTTCCTGAGCATGTCTAACCTTTTTAAAATTTAGCTTCTCTCTTTGCCTAACTCTATATATGAATGCCTCTAACCAAAAGATATAATGTTTTAATTTTCAGTTGAAATGGTAATAACTGTATGTAAGAGAAAGCAACCATAAGGAGTTGCATACAAAACTCTATTGCATTTATATCAGACTAAAGGTTAATATTGCATATTGTTTTCAATTAGGAGTACAATAGATTTGGCTGGTGGGTAGGAGAAATGAAGGGAACCATTGGCTTGGTGCCTAAAGCCTACATAATGGAGATGTATGATATTTGAGAGGCCTGGGTAAGTACATTTTAATCCAATCTTCTGTAATGGCTTGTGTGTTCCCTTGTTCTCTGTTTCTTAAGTATTTCTTTCCTGGAACCTTTGTAGGAGTCCTGTTAACATAAAGACTATGGCAGAATATATTGAAGGTTCAATTTAAGCATTTCTCCAGGGATTCCATACGAATTATTAAACTACAGTATACAAAAGATGATGTATTTTATAACTGCATTTCTTTTCCAGATTTTGGGGGGTAAAACAATATTGGTGGTTAGTTCTGGTTAGTTTTGTTAATTTACTGATATGTACATATTTGTGCAGAAATCTATGGAAAATAGAAGGTGTTTGGACTGAATTTTATATGTATTTCTGAGGTTTGGGGGTCAATGATGAACTTTCAACTTCTCTGTCCCTATTCAGGAGAAGTCTGCGCTTGAAATCAGGAGTGGTGTGCAGCTGCAGTTTACAGACCTGACCTCTGAAAGATGAAGATTCTGCCGTATACATTTTGTGGTTTCAGTGAATGTAGTCAGATTGTAGCCTTGTATATGTTAAACGTTAAAAATGGCAATTGATCACAATTCTGCGGAAATGTTCTTGGTCCCTTTTTACAGAATTGTATGCTAGGAAATGAAATAGATGGTATTTAACATATGGGGCACAAGCAGTCACACAGCGCCTGTTGCTCTTAAGTGTATTAGCAGCACTCTATTGCTATAGGCTTGTGTTCTAACCCACGCAGTTTGGCTCTGTGTTCCCATTACTCAGATTGAGAAAAATGGAGCTGAACTTTGAAAGCAGAAAACTATTGCTCAGTTCACGCGTACGTTAATTGCTGGAGTAGTTCACATTTTTGCGGTTTCTATGAAAATCAAAGGAAATTTCTATGTAATATTTTAAGTCTTAAGGTTGTTCTGCTTCCAAATGTGTTTTTTTTTTGTTCATTTACATTCTTCAATTTTTTACATTTCAGCCGATGATTAATTTTTCTTCTATATTTAGCATTGTTAATATGAACCAGTTAGGTTACAACCAAATGAAGACTTGGTTCTTGTGCTGATGTACGTCAGTCTGTGTGGGGTAGCATTCTGACTTGCTGAATTACGAATTATTTTGGCAAAAACAATGCATTAGAACACTTTCTGGTAAGCCAATGTGAGCTGAATTGCAGGTGAGAATGATTTTGTAGGTGGTGATGGTGTAATACTTTCAAAATCTGATCTTGTAAAGGGCTGCTTGCAATCTTTAATGTCGCATCCAGAACTCTGTAGCTAGGAGCATCAGCTGAAGCAAACAGAAAGCCCCCTCTAAAATACTCTCACTTGTGGACAAGGAGTTGGCTACGTCAGAGTTAATGCTTGTTTGGGAGATTTGCATTGCTGTTAGCATGCAGGATCCTCTGTTCTGGATCCTCCCACCCAGTAATGTCTGAGGGCTGGGAGGGCGGCCTGAGTGCGCTGAGCCTGGGCAGCCCCTGCACTTCTAACATGCGTGCACTTTGGCAGCCCTGTGTGTGTGTGGTTCGGAGGTAATGCCGAGCTGAACTCAGGGGTAGTAACCAATTCATGGTACTTTCTGGTACACAGGATCCTAATAGGAGGCAAACAGGGTGCGGAATTTTTTAATTTTTTTTTTTTCTTTTTTTTTTTTTAGCAATAGCCATTTGCAATGGGCTCTGTACGTTATCAGTGAAATGTTAAAATGATAGATTATAGTCTTCAGCTCTTTTACTACTTTAATTTATCAAGCGGACTGTGCACTGAATGCAAAGCACTACTCTCGTGGCTGCAAAAGCTCCACTTTTCTGGCCATCACGAAATCCGCGCCCCGACTTGCCTTCTCCCCGCCACGCCGCCCCCTGGGTTGGGGTCAGTAGGGCAGGGCCGACCCGCGCCGCGCACCCTGGCCGGCAGGTGGCAGCAAAGGGTCGCGGCGCGGCCCGGCCCTCCTGCGGGCTGCCCGGGAGAGGGCGCCCTCCCCCCAGCGATGGGCCCGGCCCTGCGGCACAGAGCCTTTGTCTGCGGGGGTAGCGCCCCCTCCTCGGGCGCAGGGGGGAGGCGAGCTGCCTGGCGGTCCAAGGAAGAAAGTCCCTCGGAGCGTCGCGGCTAAAGCAGCTGATGGACTGTTCGCTCTCAATCTATGCAAATACCATCGCCTTTTTTGGAGAAAAAACCCTCCACTCGTGCTACTTTGCACAAAACTCAGGGTTAAAAACGCCGGTTGCCTTATTGTCGTTGTTGGCTCAGGTCTGTCTCTCTGCCCGTTCTGTTAAATGTGGCGCTAAGACACGTTTTGTGCCGCTTTTCTCGCTTATGTGCTCTGCTCTGCATTTGTGCTGCGCTGCCATTAGATCTTACAGTAATGTTCTACTCTGCAAATTTTTAAGGTTCAAATAAAGTTTAATTGTTTGCAAACTGTTATGATGCTAATAATTCAACAGCCTGCTGTGTTACTAATGAAATTACTTTGTTATGATTAATTTGGAAAATAGTGTGTTGATTGTAGTAATTAAGCACAACAAGGTGAAGTAAATGATTCTAATGCCATCTGGCCTCCAGACTGAATGAAGAAATGAAATGGGGCTGTCATCTGAATTTATTCACAGAAGTAAGGGCAATACGAGTGCTTCTTATAGCACAGGACCCAGATACAATCGTGCCACCCTGGTGGCTTTTCATGGACCTCTGTGCTAAGAATAACCGGCCCAAATATTTTGTAGACACACAGAACCATAGCATGGTTTGGGTTGGAAAGGACCTTAAAGATCATCCACTTTCAATCCCCTGCCACGGGTAGGGCTGTCACCCTTCAGCTCAGGTTGCCCAGCGCCCCTTCCAGCCTGGCCTTCCAACATGTCCAGGGTTGGGATGCCCACAGCTTCTCTGAGCAGCCCATGCCAGGGCCTCGCCACCCTACGAGTAGAGAATTTCCTTCTGACATCTAACATTTGACCAGCACCTGGTTAAGGCATACCTCTTTGTACAGAGTGCCATTAACTACATGCACCAACTTCGCTGTCAGCTCTGCGGATGAGATCTGGAGAAGTATGTGCACCAGCTCACCTTTTGCTCCTCTCCTAATGGTAAGAACTTTCACTGACTGGAATTAAGCAGAACGTGAATGCTAATTAATATTGCACTCTATGTTTAAAGCCAAAAGCATAAACTTTGTTCTTTTTGGCTCTGCAGTCACTGTGTGACGCAACTTTAGGAGCGTAGAGAATAACCCTTTGGAACCTGATCCAGAAGCTGCTGCAACTGAGAAGCTATTCAATCCAGTTGCCTCTGGATCAGGCTCCCAGAATAGTAACCCAAAACCACGCACTGCAGTTTCAAAATGCCTTCTGCTGAATGCTCGTTCTGAAAGAGGTGTGATCATTTCCATAACCTGAACTAAACAAAAGAGGTGCACTGAATTCTCTGTAGCCAAAAGGTGGAAATGCAGTTTTTCTATCTCAGGTAAAGAAAGATGAACTTGCCGATGTCAGTGAGACTCGTGGTTTGTTGAAGCTCACTGGGGTCTGTAGGAAAGCTGTAAAATATTAAAGCCTGGGATGAAAATATCCAGGTAGATGACAAAGGCTCAGCTGCATGAGCCACTTGATGTTTCTCTCATCTCTTTCTCTCAAATTGATGAAAAATTTATTACTATGGAAACTGTGGGAATAAGTGTATGCATGGCAACCCTATAAACAACTTTTCCATTTTACGCAGCACAACGTGCTCATAAACGATGAGACCTTTGCTAACCACATTTTTATTTTTTTTTTAAGCTGACAGCTCTCAAACAAATGTCTGCTTAAGTCCATTTTTATTTGGAAAAACACCAATACTGAGCTACTGAGCATCCCTGTTATAGAGCGCATTTCCCCTCTTGTGAGGGGCTAACACCAACCAACCTCATGGATTGGAAACTGGGGATTCAAACTGAGCATAAGGACACCACTTCATGCTGCTGGAGTTAACATGTGACTTGGGCAGCCTGTCCTTGCTACAGGGAGAAGTAAAGGGAGGCCACGGTGGAAACAGGATGCACAGGTATAAAGGATGATGCTGTTCTTAACCACCATGTGCCAGGGAACACCTATTTCTTTTTTTCCTCCTTTTTGTTGTAGAGCAGAACAGGCAGCAATGAGCTGTAAAACACTGTATTATATCCTTTAATGGATTTGTTTGGGAAGCATTTTGTAATGGGATCCAGGCAATCCTGTTTGGAATTGTTAGTCCAAACCACCCCAATTTGAATTCACAGGGAGCGGGGTCCAAAGCAAAGCGGAGAAATAATCGCTGCACCTGAAAGGTATGCCAACGTGTGTTAAATTTAAAACCAGAGGTATCAGCTTCTTTACACCCTTTTGGGAGGAGCAAGTATTAATAAACAGGAAAAAAACTGAAAATCCAGTGTTTCATTGTAGCACTGTGTATGGGAATAGAGCACGATGGTGTGGGCAGTCTGAGAAGAACTCCTGGCAGGTGAAGACAGCTTGAAATGCTGCTAAAAACTCTCTCTCTGCTATTTATTTTTTTTTGCTATAGCAAACTGATGTGTTGGAGCTTTTATCCTTAAGCAGTCTCAGTGTCTCATGAAGCATAGAAAGAACTTCTTTTCATCCGCCGTTGTAAAGCAAGTGCTGCTCCATAAAGGTTTTTGCTGGCTAATGAGCTTTTTACAGCAATCCTTTAAAGTTTATGCTGTGAGATGAAAAAACTCCACGTTCAGTTACTGGGGGAGGATTTATGTTGGCAAAAGAGAACGGCCAGTTTGGCCACTTTGTCCACTGTAATTGCTTGCGTGTTTGTAAATAGTGCCATGGGATTTTCAGTGGCAATTGGGATTTTATTTTTGTGCTACAAGACTGGCTATGTGGCACCACCCAGCTGACCGCGTGCTGAACTGCTTGTGTTAAAAGTGAAAGTATTACACGGTATCATTATCAATCTTTCAAACGCCAGCAAGCGTGGAAGTGTGTCATGGCAGTCTCCCACCCAAGGGCTGACATGGCCCAATGCTGCTTTTTAATAGTCAAATCTAATGGGGTCAGCATGCACAGAGCAGAGCACAGACAGTCTGACAGGCGCGGGCAATGCGGCTTGTTCAGTGTTAGTCTTCAGCCTCTGAGAGTTATTTCAGTTTGGAAAGGGAAAAGAAGAAATCTGTATACAGCTGTGTGTTGTCAGGGATGCAAGGTCCCTCCTTCCTCTGCTGCTCTGTTCCAAGAGAGCTGCCATACTTGTGCTTAAATTAAAAGCAGCCAGGCATGAGTGCATGTGTATGTGTGGAAAGCAGTGGGCTTTATTGTATATTCACCTGTAATCATGTTTTCAACTGGTTTCTCTGTTCCGAAGAGTCCGTATGCCTGCTTGCTCTTAATAGTCACAGTTTCTACTGAAATGTGATATTTCTAGGTTTTTAAAAACTTGTATTTCTAGTAGTTCAAAGTCTCTATTTTAGAAACTTCCCATTTCTCTTGTCCTGGATTCCCTGTTGTGATAGTGCTATTAGTGCAGTAATCAGGTTTCTGCTATCAAACACTTCTCGTCTTTTAAGACACTGTTTTTTTGTTCATCTCTACCAATAAAATACTCCAGGCATATTTTTTGCAATGCATTTCTCCCTATTTTCAAGCTAATTTTAGACTTGTTTTTAAGGCCTAAGACTAAAAAGAAAGGAGGAAGTAATCTATGCATCTAAATTCCTAACACATAACAATCCCCCCCCCCCCCAAAAAAAAACCTCACAAAACATTAGGCAGTTCAAATTATTAAAGATTAAAGCTGCTTCTGACAAGCTATAAACTAACCAGATTCCTATCCACCTATTCTTTTGTGCTTCTGAGGCTGGCAAGTTATGGATGATGTGGGTACCTACCCGCTTCAATGGGCTCAGACTGCCCATTCAGCTTCTTAATGCCTTCTGATAGCCACCCAGGGTCACCTATAGTTCATTATCGACTCCTGGCTTGCGTATGACCAGAATTGCCTTCCCTCTAATGTGTCTGGCGCTGCTTTGAAGGCAGCATTCAGAGCATCTGCTCTGTGAGCTTTGTGCGTTTTTCATAAGGTGAGTGAAACTTCAAAGTGAAAAGGCACCATCCACTGTATCCTCTCCCCCTGCACCATGTTCAAGACTTTTTTGCTGTTCTGTAAGTACTCTGTCTTCACTGCACTCCTGCACTCATTTGCTTATATAAAATTTGGAAGGGGTGAATGTGTGCTTTAAGGTGTCTTCTTGAAACACCCCATTTTTACAGAGTAGGATTAAATTGATGTTTCAGCAGCGTGGCAAGAAAATGCCTCCTTGAGAAAATGAGCTGGCATCTGCAGCAATAGTTGGCCTGCATGAAGCTTAGGCAAGCAGCAGAGAACGAAGACGTGGTTGGCCCTGTGCTGAAAATTGATCCTTACTGCCCTGTGTTCAATATCACCTTGGGCCCTTCAGCTGCAGCGCTGCTACAAACGTCTCTAATGAGGTTGGTGAGCCAGCAATTTGTGCAGATGCTCGTCCATCAGGCGCGGATCGGGATTTTGAATGATAGCCTGGCAGCATATGACGTGGTGATGTGACACATTCTCATTTACGTGCCCTGTCTGTTGGATAGGCTGGGGGCTCCGAGAAGTTCTTGGGGTGCATTTCATTCGGTGGTAATGAACGCATTTCAGCGGAATTCTATTTTGCACACTCTGGATGATGTTACGCACATTAAGGAGGTAGTTGTGAAAAATACCTTTCTTGGGTGCCATGACGTTTCAGACCTGGGGAGTCTGTGTTGTGACCGTTTGGTCTGAAACTGGCCAGGGTGGCTGATAGGGATCATTGAACAGAGTACTGACCAGCTTCTGTGAGCATATTTATTTCATTTGGTGGACAGTGTTTGGTTATTAATTAATTATGTTTCAGACAATTATTTCAATAATTTTGTCTAAAAATAACAGTAGACATGCTGTTTGCTAAACGTATTAACTGAAATTACAATAGCTATTCAGACTGCACTCATCATAATACTTATTAGCGTCTGCCCTTCCTACGTCTGTTGGCTCTTGAATGTTCTTCTCATCCTGAGTGTTGTCATTTCTGCTGGTATTACAAAAAAAAAAAAAAGAGTAAAATGGGGGCAGTTGTCAATGCCACAAGCACCTTCTGTCTTTTACACGGTGTGCTTTTTGAAAATAGAGTCAGTTCTGCTTGTACAGTCTGAAACAAGGGAATTTTACCATGTGACTCCCCCTTAACCTCAATGAAGGCTGCGTAGGTAAATCTTAATTTGAGGGCACAGTATTAACTCCCTATTGACAATAGTAAGCATTCAGGCACATAATTCCCTTGACTTCATTGTGCTCCTAAAACTGCTTGCTAATGTGAAATGAAGGGTTTAAAAGCAAGTTGTTAGTGTTGTAGGAAGTAGATTTTGTCATTTGAAGAAGAGCCCCAACCATGAGTTAGCCACCTGGGTACGCGTAGGAGGCCAATTTATCTATGCAGTTACTTTGGGTGTTCAAAATCCCCTGGTGCATGGCACTTAAATACCAGGAGTACTGTGAACACAGTGAATGACTTTGGTGGCTCTGGTTTCCATCTGCCCAGAGAAGATCTCCGTGGAGTAAGATACCTCTAGTAACCAGATGGAAGCATTATACACACTGCGCAGTCCTGATTCCCCATTCATATACAATCATGGGCCGTAGGCTCTGGGCTGTGTTATGATCACGTCAGGATTAATAGGGGCTTACACTTCCAAAAACAACACAGGCATACAGCCCTGTGTTAGTGTAGTGAAAAGTTGTGCTTGACCCTATCTACCTCACTGTCCTCTCTCTTCTCCTGCCGATTCTAGGGGCAGACATCATCACCGTCTTCAGCAACCTCTATTACAGACAGCTGCCAACTGCAGATGAATGCTTTGGCTGTGCCTCCCTCCTTCCAGCCGAAGAGTAAGTGCGTAATAATGAGGATTTATCTTGTTATATGGGCATATTGACACAGAATTATAACATCCGTATACGGGCCACTGACAGTTCCCACGTCTCCTGCTATATTCTGTTTTCTCTAGGCCGAATTTATTGCTCTCGTAATTAAGTCCAGTTCTGAGGACATAATGGAGTTGCGTGTTCTGAAGGTAGCAGGAAATACGGCTTTTCCTGCCACCAGCCCTCATACCGGCTGTGCCGTTGTGCCCCAGGCGCAATTCCTCAGCCCCTCCACAGCGCTTTCCCATTGACGGGTGGCTGACGTGGGGCAGGGATGGGGAAGGAACTCCAAAGCGGTCACTGTTATCGTTGGCTACATCTCACGTTAGGAATGCCTGAGTGACCTTTTGTTTGCAGTCAGGCTCACAGCCATGGGTTGCTAAATGGGATCATGTTAATCATCAGATGGCGCGGAGCAAGAACAGGCTTACATTGCTCGCAGGTGGGTGAGGATCAGGCGCAAGGTGAGACTGTGCAAGGGCAGGGCAGCCAAGCGTTGGGCTGGTTGCCTGGGGAGCTCTGCAATTTCCATTTCTGGAGGACTGTGAGAACTTGTGGGGAATGAACTCACCTGTGAGGAATGGCATAACCACGGGGCTTCCTGCTTGCTCAGTGACCTCTCCCAGGCTGCTTCAGCCCAGCCTCTTCAGTGCTGTGAGCCAGCCCTGAGCTGACACCGCACTGAAATGGCAGAGTAAATACACGTCTGGTCTCGGCTGTTCTTTGACTGACACATTGAAAATGCCGCTGTTATTGAGTTGACGTGTTCCTAATTCCCTCCTGCTCCACGGGATCGAAGCAGCAAGCACGTTCCCCACTTCTTTCCTGACAAATGTGGCAGTCCCCTGCCTCTGCAATTAGTTTGGCCCACAGGTCTGTATCTGTTGAAAAGTTGAGTATTTCTTTCAGATGTCACGTGCCTCCCTGTGCCTCAAGGGCTCCGTGCCTGTACCCAGTATTAAAACAGTTTTGAGTACGTGAAAGATGGTGTTTATTCTAATTGCCATGGAGAGCATTTCACTCATGCATTTTTAAGCAAAATAGCTGCGATTTTGAATTGCATCCATTCGTGCTCCCCAGGTATTTAAATTTTATTTATCGCTTTGGTGTCTTGGTGTCTTATGAAGTACAGAAAAAAGTGAAAAAAGCCTCTGGTTTTGTCTGTTTCTTCCTTCATAGAACAAACAGGGATTTTTTCCAGGGTCCGCTCAAGGAACTCACTGCATTTTCATCCTTACAAAAGGCTTTGGATCAGGTCCACCCGTATGGATAGTCCTCTTTTTTTCTCATCTCCTTTAATTGAATGTATGACATATTTAATTCTGGCAGTGTTCTTTATCTCTGTGAGAAGTCCTTTTAATTCGCCGTGTAAGAAAGTGTTCTGTGATGTGGCTACCTGATTTTATTGAAACTTGCATGGTGGGGAAAAAAAAAAATCATTGCCTTCGCTGTCAAAACTGACAGTAATTACGAGTCCAAATATATAGCTGTGATTGACTTGTAAAACCAGATCTATAATATTTCAAGTTTGCACGTTGACTTGTGCAGCTTTCAGGAAATACAACCCAGTGTTTTTCTTGCAAACTGACGTCTCTTTATCCATTTCTTTTATCGCCTTTGTTTTTATTTGTAAGGGCGGGGAGCAGACAGCATTTATATAGCACGTACTGGATGGCATTTAGCAAGTCTGCTTCTGGGGGAAAAAGCGTTCTTTCTGGCTAAGCACAGCTACAGCAAAATCAGGGATGTTTTAGCACATGGCTCCTTTTATGTGCTCCTCTTTGCACGTAATCTGTCAGCAATAAATACTGTGTATTGATTGCTTAATTATAATGGAAACATACTTGGGCAGGGCAGCATTACAGCCTATTTACTGCCTTAATTTTTAAAGAGTTTTTAAATTTTAAAATGGATGTTTCCCTCAGTGTGGTGCTGCACTCTCCTGTGCGGAACTGCTATGGAAGGGACTTTCTCACCCAGTCTGTGCACTCAGAGCTCCTTCTGTTCCAGCTGCCTTCCTTTCCCCTACACTTATAAACCCAGAAGGATCTGTAATTGCTGTTCATCCTCCATTAGTATATGTAAAATTCACATCAGAACAGAACAATTTTTTTAGATTAATTAACAAATAAGTCCAAAGTAGGCTTTGGTAGATAATTAATACTTTTTTCCAGATTAATTGTAAGAATTTAACTTGTTTATTTGCCTAAAAAATCAAAAGTGTGCTAGAGCTGCCTGGTTAATAATGGGCATTTCTAAGCAATGGTAGTGAACAGTGATCCTCCTTTGGCTGAAGAAAAAAAGGCACGTGTGCATCAGATGAGTGTGTAAACCAAATGCTGACCTAAAGGTGTCCTAAAAGTGAACCAATACCACTGCATGGAAAAAAAATAATAAAAAGAGAAGTCTTTATTTTATGTATCACGTAATCATTTAGCTGATGTACATGAAAATGAATAGGTGTTGAAATGATAAAAACGAACAGCTACAAGGAGGTACTTAGAAGTGGTATCCAAGTGCTGTATATTGTTTCAAATGTACAATACCAAATTATTTTGGAGCAGAAAAGATTAAATTTCCTTATAGGTAAAAATATTCTCCATTTTAATCTGTCGTTTCAAGGCTGGTATTTGGATGGTATTGCTGTTGTGATTCCAGTTTTCCTTCCTTCCTTCTTCTCTTTTTTTTTTCTTCTTTTTTTCCTTCTTTCTTTCTTTCTCTCTTTCTCTCTCTCTTGCTCTCTTTCTCTCTTTCTTTCTCTCTTTCTTTCTCCCTCTCTTGCTCTCTCTTTTTCTCTCTTTCTCTTTTTCTCTCTTTCTCTCTTTCTTTCTCTCTCTCTTGCTCTCTCTCTTTCTCTCTTTCTCTTTTTCTCTCTTTCTCTCTTTCTTTCTCTTTCTCTCTCTCTCTATCTATCCAAAGCAGTGGAGCTGAGCTTGGGAAACAGTAATTTCTTTGAATCTTAATGCAGTCTGTCTTCTTAATGAGCCTCCTGCACTGCCCTGAAAACAGCCCTTTACAAATAAACATGCTGGAAGTGATTTAGCCACAATGTCCAGACTGTGTAAACATCTAATTATTACAATAAAATTGTCAATAAATATACATTACTGCTCCCTTTTCAAACGTTAACCAACTTTTTTCTTTATACCTTGATAAAAAGGTATAAATTGTATTTTTGTGCCATGGGTTCTGTTTCCATTATGTGCTCACCGCTCTCCAGACAAAAGGATGCAGCCTAATGCCGGGGTTATTCCTGGATGGCGATAAGTCCTACAGGAGTTTATTAATGTAAACTACAGTGTTGCCTTTCACAGTAAAATGGATTCGGAGCTGATGTTTAGTCATGGCATCTTTTATTTCCCCCCCCAAATCAAAGGGCTATAAAACCTGTTATTTTACCTGCTGTAACTGCAGGGTAGGCGCGTGATTAAAACCTGCTTGTTAGAGGGAGGAACGGGCATAATGCTGCATTAGGGCTGTGAGAGCAAATAGCAAAACGGAGTAATTTTCTCAAAAATATGAAGTTCTGCTTTCAGGATTATGGCATCGTGTTGACCATAATTGCAGCATGCCCCCCTTTCCCATACGTCCCCCCTTCTCGCATATCTTATGTAAGTGGAACATTAACATCAGAAAAGCCGAGCGATATTGAATCCTAATGAGGTCTGGCCTATATGCTGGGGCAGGAGAAGAATGAGGATCATTCATTTGTATGCCACAAAGCGTTCAGGACTCCGTGAGCATCCCCGTGGCTCCAGCGCACAGTGCTGATCATCTGTTCTTGCTTTGGGGGGTTCCACGGCTCCGAGCAGCATCTGAGCTGGGCAGAAAATAGTTAACCACTTTGCTGCAAGCTTTTGTTATATAATGACAATTTAATACGGTGGCTATTTTTTTGTTAACCTGCTTTAAAAAGGTCTTTCAGATGGTTAAATTAATCTTCTGATTAGCTGTGCCTGCCAGGTAAAATATGAGGAGGAAAGTGGCATGGGACGCAGCGGTGTAAATGCGTGATCCAGTCCTGGTAAACACGTCTGTTTTAAATAATCAATGTAACGACAGCGGCCACTCGGTCCTAAAAGATATTTTTGAAGTACTTTTTGTTCTATTTCACTGCTCGTGTTCACATCTCTTTTCATCTTTCTCTTTTAACCCAGGAGATGCTCGGCAGAGTGATGCGGTATTTAAAAAGAGCAGGGTGAAATGTTTCCCGAAACCGAGGTATAAAAGATCCGTGCAAATTGCCACGCAAAATGATCTGCACAAAAAGGCATCGGGGAAGGGAGCGAGGGCTGTGCCAAACAGATGGCACACCCTGCTGTGTTTTTGATTGAAAAAGAAAGGTAACATTTGCAGCCACGTCAAAGAGACAGTGATCAGCTAAACAAATTGGTCTCC